GGAGGAGGAGGAGGAGGAGGAGATGGAGGAGGAGGAGGAGGAGGAGGAGGAGGAGATGGAGGAGGAGGAGGTGGAGGTCGACATGGAGAGGTTTTCTGCTGCAGATTGTCCCTGAGGTCCCCTCCCCTGTGCCCTGCTCCCCCCCAGGACCCTCCTGGGCACAGCTGCCCGTCCCTCTGTCCTCCCGTGGCCCCGTCCTCAGTCCCCTGGTCTCACTCACTCAGGGACCTTCCGTCTCCAGAACGAAGGTCCCCTGACCCCTCACCCCATCTCTGGGCCCAGAGTCCACAGGATGCCGTGTCCAGTGACCTGAGATGCCCCCACTCCACCTGCAGCCCGAGGGCCACTGCCTTAGGTCCCTGTGGAGCCCTGGGGACACAGAGCAGTGGCTTCTTGTCCTCAGTTGAACATGGACCCAGGGACGATGTCARAATGGACTTGGTCCCTCCTGGTCACCTCTTTGGTGGGGATCCCCAGGTCCCCCTTCAAGTGACAGGTGAGGGYTGGGCGGGGCTTTCCCATCAGCTGATGACCACCTGGGTCCTCAGTGTCCCTCACTTCCTGTTCTCAGGGACAGAGGTGGCTTCAGGGCCAGGACGTGGTCAGGAGTGGACGGTCCATGGTGGAAAGGAGAAGCCGCCCCCCAGACTCTCCGTGTCCCCCGAGTCTCCTGGGCACAGGGAGGCCCATGGCAGAGAGYGTGGCCACCRAGGGCCAGCGTCACAGGAGGCCCGGTGTCCCCTGAGCCAGGGACCGTGACACAGAGCAGTCCCCTGAGGTCACTCTGCTGAGAGACGGTCTCATGGCCAGGCCCTGGAGCTGCACGGAGCTCTCTCCCCTGAGCGCCATGGTGGAGGGTCATCTAGAGTGGACAGTCCATCATGGCCAGGTCCCTGCTCCCTGGCCACGCCCAGGGTCTCCTTGGGGACAAAGACCTGGGAGCCAGATGGACAAGCAGGTGACAGACTGGGTGTGACGCTGCCGTAGCCCAGGGCGGATCCAGGGCACTGTCCCCTGAGGTCCTCCGGGGTGCGCAGTGGTCAGCTGGGCAGTCCTGGTGCCCTGTGTTCAGTTACCCTTGGATTTCCTCTTTCTGGGGTCGAGGACGGAAATTTCTAGCAACCTGGGTCCCCCTTGGCTCGCTGGCCGTCCCCAGGTGGGAGGWGGGGGMCTGGTGTCCAGTTCCCTGCACGACCCGCTGYCCAGTGCTCATGTGTCCACTGAGAATCAGAGAATGAGGAGCCAAGAATGAATCCTTCGTGTTTCCCGAGACTCGCTGAATCTCATTTTTCACAGAGATTTTTCTTTCATTTTCAAGAAACACGTGTTGAGGGGACGGTGACGTGTGTTCCTGCACGATGGCACTGTGTCGCGCACACAGCTGGTGCTCCATATTTGCATCTTCAATCTTTATACGACTTTTGATGGACATTAGGTGATTCCATCAATATTAATTTTTTTTGGGGGGGGTGGCACCTGGGATTGAACCGCGGGGTGCGTAATGACTCAGCCCCGTCCCCAGCCCTCATTTTATTTTATTTTATTTTATTTTTTTAAATTTAGGGACAAGGTCTCTTACGTTGCTCAGGGCTTCTCCAAGTGGCGGAGGCTGGCCTCCAACTTGCCATACTCCTGCCTCAGCCTCCCAAGTCGCTGGGCTCCCACCTGGGCACGAAGCCCAGGGAATATTCAAATGATTTTTTTTATTAACTGGACCTAATTTTGTGCACTTTCAAGGTTCCACGTGGTACATTTTTACATATTTCTTTTCTTTTTTAAAAAAATTCGTTCTAATGAGTTAGACAGGACACGATTTTTAATGTTCAGAGGGAGCAGTGACCCCTATGGCATCCCAGGGCACATGGACCATGTCCCTGTTCCTAGATTTTTTTTTTTTTAAGAGCTTTGGGTGGACACATTCATATTTGGTCCCATGCACGGGGACACCCTGGGGTTTCCCTGCAGGACTCTGGTGGGCCTGACCACATCAGGGGGATGGGTGGGCATTGCAGGACTCTGGTGGGCCTGACCACATCAGGGGGATGGGTGGGCATTGCAGGACTCTGGTGGGCCTGACCACATCAGGGGATGGGTGGGCATTGCAGGACTCTGGTGGGCCTGACCACATCAGGGGATGGGTGGGCATTGCAGGACTCTGGTGGGCCTGACCACATCAGGGGATGGGTGGGCATTGCAGGACTCTGGTGGGCCTGACCACATCAGGGGATGGGTGGGCATTGCAGGACTCTGGTGGGCCTGACCACATCAGGGGGATGGGTGGGCACGGGTCCCCCGACGTCCTCACCGAATCCTGGCGCTGGGACCTGCCACGTCCTGAGTGCAGCTCTTTGGAAATGCAGAGCGCGCGCGATCTCACGGGCTCCATGTCCCCAGAGGGACTCCGCAGACCACCAGTGGACCTCAGGGTGGACACGCAGCGAGCCGAGCGCCAGAGGGGCAGAGGCCTCCTGAGCTCATGCAGAGGCAGGAAGCCCAGCGGCTGCAGGGGCAGCGGGGAGTGGACCGTGGTCACCAGGGCTGCAGGGAGCGAGGCTCTGGAGGGAAGGAGGAGGCCCAGCGAGGAGTCCCGACCTCCAGCTGGGAGCCAAAGGCCTTCCTCGTGCTGCATCCTGAGACCCTCGGGGAGCCCAGGTGGGCAGGGCCTTGATGGACAGGCCGCCCTGGCCGGCTCCGCCCTGCTGTTTGATGGACAGGAAAGGGGGCGGCCCCGGCTGCAGGGTGCGCCCTCCGCCGGCCTCTGCGCTCCCCTCGGTGCAGGCGGCCGGGAATGGACACGCAGGTCCCTCACGTGGCTGAGGCTGGCCTCCAACTTGGGATCCTCCTGCCTCAGCCTCCGGAGCTGCCGGGATGAGGCTCGCGCACCACCGCGTCCAGCTTCTTGGTCTCTTTCCAAATGCACAGAATCCAGGAGGCTGGGCCCACGGAGCCCGGGGCACCCCGGGTCGCGGTGACTTATCATTTCTCACGTCCCCGTTGATGTATCACGAGTCACACGTCCCGCATGTCACCGTTGCATGAGTCATTTTTTCCTGAGCCACGTGTCACTTCACTGGCCCTAAAGATGGGGGGGTCTCCTCTCCGTGGAAAGTCGAGAGTCCAGCTGGGAACGCTGCGGGCTCCTTTTTCACGCCTGTCTTGTGATCCCCCGGGGGGCACATGCAGTCCCCAGGGGCCCGGCTCGCTCAGAGCCTGTCCCAAGGCCCCAGTGAAGCCCMGAATCCACAGACTGAGGGTCCCCAACCAGGAAGTCCCCTGCCCAGGTCGTCCCCTGGTCCCCGTGCTGTGTCTTTCCCGGCCACGCTGTGGTTCAAGGCCTCTCCCAGTTGCTCAGGAGGCGCACTCAACAAATCCCTGTGGGATCCTGGGAGTTCCCTGCCCCTTCTCACAGCGTCCACCCTGCAGGGTGTCCCAGCCGCACCGACGATGAATGTCCCCTCTCGTCTCCCGCTTCTTCTCCCTGTCCCCAGGAAGCCACCAGGTGTCACTCATGTGTCCCCTCCCGCTGCGCTTCAGAGGGACGCGGGGGCTGCTGAGGGGCAGAGGCCCAAGTCCCCGAGCGGGTGACCCTCCTGCGCCAGGAAGCGTGACGGGCGGGTGACCCGGTTATCTCGCCCCGAAAAGGGATGTGGGCAAACCCCCGAGCCAGCTCCACGGCCCAGGGTGACACCCAGGGTGACATCCAGGGTGACTCCCAGGGTGACAGCTGGTGTCTCCCGTCTGCATCCACGACTGGGGGCCCCGGGAGACCCTGGCGACCCCCGAGGGAGGCCCCTGTGGGCGCTGACCCCAGGGACGAGACGGAGCTGGCCGCGCAGCGAGCCTTATCAGGGCCTTTGCCTCCGCAGCGACCTGGTGGCCGCGGTCCCCTGGAGACCTGCGTCCCGGGCGCGTCCCCTGTGGACATCGAGCGCGAGACGACAGCTGCGTCCCCAAGTCGCCGCCGCGGAGCCAGGTGAGGGGACCCTCCCGGGGGGGGCGACACTCTGCTCCCGGGGTTTTGCAGATACGAGAGCCACGCGCGCACAGGGAGCCCAACAGGTGCGCAGCCCCGGGGGACAGCGAGGGCCGGGCGTGGGGGACACCAGGGTCGCCCCCAGAACCCCGCGCCCGCACACGCACACACCGGGACCCACCAGGGGTCGCCACAGGGAGGGCCCAGGCAGGACCCCGATCCTGGGGGTCACCTCAAGGGAGAGTCCTGCTTTGCATAAAACCCCAGAGTGGACAGTGGAGAGGGTGACCCGGGTAGAGGCCATGCCCAGACGGCCGTCTGGCATCCCATCCACCCCTCTGTAAGGACGTCCTCGGGCCCTTTGTCGGAACGGCTTCGACTGATGAGACGCGGCCCACCGTGTTGGGCAGCGTCCACTGATAGAAACGCTGGACTCTGGAACCAAACAACCAGCACTTTGCGTGGCTGACGCTTTGCCAGATGCCTGGGTCCTGGCGCCCAGTCGATCGGAGCACCTAAAACTSACCCCCAGGACTCTTGCATGAGTTACTGAGGCCTCTCCCCTGGACTTGCAGCCGCCGTCATCTCCCTGTGTCCTCCRGGGGCCGTCCCTCTGTGTGGGTCTGTGTCCTCATSTCCTCCTCTACAAGGACCCCAGTCCTGCGGGGTCAGGGCCACCCCGGGGACCTCACTGCACCTCCATCCCCTCTACCAAGCCCCGTCTTCATCCACAGGCACGTCCCAAGGTCCTGGGGCCAGGGCTGCAGCAGAGCCATTGGACAGGACACCGTCCAGCCGTCCCGCACTCTTTTGGGGGGACCTCTGTGGTTTGCATGAGGGGAGGACACGCCGCTGACCCACAGTGTCCCCTCTGGGAATGCAGGTCCAGTCATGGCGGCTCTGTGGGCGTCAGCGTGGCTCTTGATGCTCCTCCGTCCGGCGCTGGGTGAAGGGCAGCAGCCCCTGGGTACGTAGGGCAGGGTCTCCCGTCGGGGTCGGACCCCCGTGGACCCCCGTGTTGAGTGGTGGCAGGAGACAGAAGGCCCCAAGAGCCCCAGAACCAGGAGCAAGGTCCCTGCTTAGTGTCCATCTTCTGAAGGACAGCCGGGGACAAGGCCTCTCCTGTCGTCAACCTGAAGCTCGATGCGCGGAAGAAACTGCTGACGTGGCGTTACAGCCGAGAGGTGACCCAGCACTCCTGCAGGATCGTCACCCCCCTGGCCCCGGCCACCAGCACCACCCCTCGGGTAGGTGCCCAGGGCCGGGGGCCCACGGATTACCCAGGACGGGAAGGAAAACCTCTTCCTCCACTTTTGGGCTCAGGGACGGGGGTCTGCAAATTAAAAGGACCAAGGAGAGATGAACASAAGAGGTGGCCCCTATTTTGGGGGGTACAGGGGGGGGTGTTCGCAGAGAGGAAGGAGAAACCGACTGATGGTACCGTGACCCCCGCGCCTGAGTCCCTTCYGGGGACTCCCTCTTGTCCACTCTGAGGTGACCCGACAGGTCACCGGAGCCTGTGGTCCCCCCCGGGCAGCTCCCGTCCCCTCGGGTCCGGGTCGTGGTCACTCCRGGCTTTGAACCCTACCGGCCTCTGCTGAGAGAGGTAGCGAGGTTAGTGGCCTCCTCTGGTGCCRCTCAGCGCCTGCCCGCGTCTCCTCCCGCAGGTGACCGCTGACCTCGCCTACAGGTGCGCCTTCCCCAACGCCCTGCTGCACCGCGGGGCCACCCTGACCCTGCGGGGCTCTTACGAGGGCGGTGACTTTGAGGAGGAGCTGGTCTTCCCCAGCGCAGGTGAGTCGGGGCACCCGGGGCCGCAGCGTGGCGGTCAGCAGGGGACACGTGGCGCCGGACCCCGGGTGAGGGTCTTCCCTGGACCTTCCAGGCAAGGAGGGCTCCCGGGCGACCGGCTTCTCCTGCCTCATCTACGACGTGCGCTTCATGAACTGCAGCTGGACGCGCGGCCCCGCGGCCCCCCGGGACGTCCAGTACCACCTCTACTCCTGGTTCTCCAGGTCCGGGGGCCAGGCGTGGGCCGGGGAAGGGCGGGAAAGTGTCCTCGGGGACCTCTGGGTCCCCCGCTGGGCCTGGAAGGAAACCAGAGCCGAGGAGAGATGGATTCACGGAGCAGAGTCGCCTTGGAAAATGGCATAGGAAAAAAATTGGGGTGCAGGTATGGCGTGATCCAGCAAACGCTGTTCCTGGGCATTATGTCGAGAAGGGTAAGAAACCGTGGTGAGAAAGACGCCCCCAGTGTTGTTCCTAGTCACCAAGAAAAGGAGTCGACCCAAGGGCCCCTCCGAGGGTGCGGACTGGACGCACAGTGGAATACTATTCAACTGTCAAAAAGGAAACAGACTCCAAAGGCAGGGACGTGCCTGTCGTCCTAGTGGCTCGGGAGGCTGAGGCAGGAGGATCTGTGCCTTGCAGGGACGAGGATGAGACCGAATGCACCCAGTACATGGTGGACTCRGCCGGGGTGCACGTGGGCTGCCATTTCCAGGAACTGGGCGAAGCCAAGACCACAGACAACTACTTTTTCCTGCTCAACGGGACCAGCCACGAGGCGGCCATCCAGTTCTTGGACTTTGCCCCTCTCGTGGCCTTTAAAATCGGTAAGACCGGGTCCCAAGACAACGCCCCAGAGGTACAGTGACCGTGTCCCCCACACTGAGTCCCAAGCCATCCACCGACGGGCGACCCAGAGTCAGTGGATCAGTCCACAACCTTGGTGCATGTGCGTTTCCGTTCCAAGACGCCGTGCTGAGCGCTTCTCGTGGATGTGTGAACCTTGAACTCGCAGCCAACAACTCAGATCCATCTGTTAAGCTCAGTCCCGGGGGGGCTGCAGATTAAAATGGCCAAACGACAGATAGTGGAGACAAGCAGGCAGATTGGGTTTTTACTTTCCATTTTTTATCTTCATGCCTGTGCGTGTGTGTAGGAGGGGGTGCTTCGTGGGAAACTTGGGGGGTCATGTGTTGTCTTTCAGGGGTGGTATGTTCTGGAAAGAACCAAGGGAAGAAGAGGATTTGGGGTTCACATGTTTTCGATTCTGTTCCTTCAGTTCCAAACAAACCCACACGCCCAAGCATCCTATTTGGGGTGTCCTGTTGTGCCCCCGTCAAGGCCACGCACGTTGGTCAGGTCACATTGATGGACATCAGCAGAAGGAGGGTCAGGATCCACCTGGGGACAGATATGGGCAAGGATGGCTCTGCCCCCTGCGATTCCTCAGTCTGCCCCTGGGGGCGCTGTGGAACTTCATCTGCCCCAGGGGACTAAATCCCCGGATGTGGCTGCTGCAATTCCTCGGCCGTCCACTGGGGGCGCTGCGGAGGATCCCGTGTCCGTCTGTCCAGGCGGCATAAATGCAAATCTGGGGGTCACGTGGCTTCGGGGGATCTGCTCCTGGGTTTTACTGGTGTTCCTGAGCCATGCAGGCGCTGGTGACCAGTGTCCCCGGGACTGGAGGGATTTGCACAGAGAGGACACGCAGCCGGGCGCCTGTCATCCCAGCAGCTGGGGAGGCTGAGGCAGGAGGATCTCGAGGTCAAAGCCAGCCTCCGCCAAAGCGAGGCCCTGAGCAGCTCAGGGAGACCCTGTCTCTAAGTAAAATGCAAAATAGGGCTGGGGACGGGGCTCAGGGGTCGAGGGTCCCTGAGGTCCATCCCGGTACCAAACAGAAAAGAGAGGGAMCGGGGACACAGGAGGCCCAGGACCTGGCCAGGCCTGTCCTGCAGGTGCGTCACTCCGGGGCTCTTGATTGCAGAGAAGTACAACCCGCCGGCGAACGTCACCGTCCACTACAACGCGTCCAGCCACAGCCACGTCATCCGGTGGCTCAACCCCCACCGGAGGTACGACCTAGCGAGCAGCACCTTCCGGTACGAGCTGGACATCCAGAGGACGGTACTGACCCGCGTCTCCCTGGGGCCCCTGGGGTCTGGTTCCCACGGGGAAGTTCCTCCGTGTGTCTCGCTGTCGTCTCTGCTCAGTCGGGGGCTGCTGTTCACCTCTGGTCACTGCAGGGTCATGCAGCCCGGTCCTCCCAGAGCCCCTCTGGGGACGGCACGGGGTTCCCCGGCTCCCCACAGGCCACACACGTGACCTCGGGCAGGGGAACACACTCAGGGGCCCTGATGCAGGTGACCACACACAGGTGACCTTAATAACTACACACAAGTGACCTCAGACAGGTGACCACACACGGATAATTGCACACCAGTGACCACACACAGGTGCCCCTCCTGCTCACAGTCCAGACCCTAGTGCCRTCCCCTCTGTGGACCCCCAGGGGCCCAGGATGACTCACATGTCCACTCCTCAGCGGACCTTGGAAGTCCACTCTGTTCTCCTTCATTATGGTCCCCAGAGAACCTTTGCCATCCAGGGAAGCCTAGGGACAGGGATCTTCATTTCAGTGAGGAAAACACTTTTCTATCCCTTTATGTCTGGTTCTGGGGGCCTGCAAATTAAACACAAGATGCATTTTATCCGCAGGCGGAAAAAAAAAAAAACCCACCAAGTTTGTTTCACTGCTCCTGGGAGCTCATAAAACAAGTASCCCATAAATGTCTAAAGTTAGATGCTTCAATAACCGGAAGGGAAGGAAAGGGCCTGTACAAGAAGGTATTGTTTCTCCGGGAAGACGAACGTGTTTTTAAGAGAACAAGATGGAGATAAGCGAGACGTGGCAGTGTCTGATTGTGCAGGCGCCATAAAAACGGGATTTGATGATAGCGTCCCATTTTCCTCTCCTTCCTGGAATGAAGTCATTGGAATSAGGGGGGTTTACGGTGGCCTCCTTCCCAGAAGTGTGCCCGCAAGCTGCAAGGAGGGGCCCTGTGCTGCTGGGGTCTCACGCCCGGTTTCAGTGTGAAAGGATCTTTGCTGCAACTCCGGGGATTAGGGTCACTGTCCACGTTGGCTACAGACAAAAAAAATAAAATAAAATAAAAAATAAAAAACGGGATCATTGACCCTCTTCTCTCTCTGTTTCTTTTTGCAGAGCGGCTCCCCGAAGAGAGACCCTGTGAGTATCTCTCTCCTCCCCAGAATCCTGTGCTCGAGCCATTAAAGACCTCACAGAGGATCTGAGCTCAGCCACAGTCCCCCGGGGCCCATGGGTGGTCACCAGGCAGCGGGGCCAGAAGAGGGGGGCTCCGTCCAACCTGGGCGCACGGTGCRCACGGCACGCGGACCAGCCCCTCGTGCAAACCAGCTGCCCCGGGCTTGCCTCAGAATGCACAGTGCGGCTGGGCAGGACCCACCTGGGATTGCAGAGGGGACCTCAGAAATAAGGACGGTGGACCTAGTTAGTGGACGGCCCTGAGATGGGTCAGGGGGCCCTCATGCCATGGCCGTGTCCCTCCCAAGAGACAGAGGAGGGGTCACGTGGGGCAGCAGGGTCCTGCGCCTGCAGATGCTCGTGGCTCCTGCACCTGGGAGCCTGATTCTCAGGTCCCCGCTGAACCCTGACCTGCCACAGTTTGAGTGGCACAGAGAAGCGGAAAGAGGGTCAGGATCCACCTGGGGCCAGATGTGGGCAAGGCCGGCTCTGCCCCCCTGCAATTCCTCCGTCTGCCCCTGGGGGCGCTTCAGAACCTCATCTGCCCCAGGCAACCTAATACCCGGATGTAGCTACTGCAATTCCTCCATCTGCCCATGGAGGCGCTGCAGAGCCTCATCTGCCCCAGGAGACTTAATGCCCCCGGATGTGGCTGCTGCAATCCCTTGGTCCACACCCTGGGGGCGCTGAAGAAGCTCATCTGCCCCGGGARACTTAATCCCCGGATRTGGCTACTGCAATTCCTCTGTCGCACCCTGGGGGCACTGCGGAGCCTCACGTGTGCATCTGCCCCAACAGGCGTTAATTCCTGGATGCGGCCTCTGCAATTCCTCAGTCTGCCCATGGAGGCGCTGTAGAGCCTCATCTGCCCCGGGAGACTTAATCCCCGGATGTGGCTACTGCAATTCCTCCGTCCCACTCTGGGGGCGCTACTGAGGCTCACGAGTCCTCTGCCCAGCAGGCGTTAATCCGCGGGTGTAGCTACTGCAATTCCTCAGTCCGCCTCTGGGGGCACTGCGGAAGCTCCCGTGTCCATCTGCCCCAGGCGGTGTCAATCCCCGGGATGCCCAAGGTGCTGGCCAGTGCTGAAAGGTGTGACCAGCTCGCCTGCTAGGGAATGGAGACGGCCACTGGCCCAGAAGGAGATGTCCTGGTCCTTCCCTTGCCCCTGCCCAGYTCAGAGATTTCCCTGTGGATCAAGGGCACGAGGTCTTTGCTGCTCTGACCACTGGGCAGCTGATCTGCTCCTCCCAGCCTCTGMAGCTGTAGACCCCTCCGTGGGGGGACAGGTGGCCTGGTCCAGGAGGGCACCTATGTCCTGGGCATGCGCTGGGGGCGCCACAAGCAGGGAGCARAAGACACATGTCCGTGTCCAGCCCAAGCGTCCAGCGACCCTCAGGGGCYGCGGACATTCATGCTGCCCCCCCTCCCGGTTCCACCTGGGTCCCCAGCACGGACCCCTTTTCCTTTCAAAGGTCTTTCTAGATGGGAAAGACGAAAACGAGTACTGGCCACCCAGCTCCGACTCGCGCACGGAGAACACCGTGCGCCTGAGGGTCAAGTACCAGCGCAACGAGATCTGGAGCGAATGGAGCCGGACGCTGCGCTTCGGTAGGTGCCCGGCTCCCGGGAGGCTCCTGGGGCCRTGTGGATACTGACCTGGCCACGGGGGGACCCTCTGACCCTCAGTCCCGCCACCTGATTCACCCCGGCTGTGCTGGGAAGTGCTGCTGAGAGTCTGCCCAGGGCTAAGTCCTGCATGAGGCTGGCCTCTCACACTCCCGGATTCCCCAGGAAGGAGGCTCCCGTCAGGGTCCTGGAGATGAGATGACCACATCTATGCATGATGCAGCCCTGAATCCTGTCCCCAGCTGAAGTCAGGAAGAGGTTGTGCGTAGAGCCCGGCTACTGGTCCCTCTTGACCCTCTGCTCTTCTTCCTCATCAGGCACCCCAGAAGAGGGATACGGCAGCATCCCTGTGACCCTGGTGGTGCTGGTGGTGGGGGCAGCCACGCTGTCCACGGTGGTCCTCATGTTCCTTTGCAAAAGGTGACTTTGAGTGGCGTTGAAATGATCCCACTTGGCAAAGTGGCTCAGACCCCCGTGACCAGGGGCTACGTGACCCGCTTAGACCACAGGGAGCAGAGCAGGCACATCCGCAGCACTGACCAGACTAGGGTTGCTCAGGCCGGGACCAGGAGGGCACTCGGAGGGACTGCTCATAGGTGCAGCCTCCTTTGTGGTAATTCGAATGTTCTGGAACTGGACAGAACCCATGGCTGTGTCCAGGGCTCCTTATAAGAGGGCTGGGCCTGTCGCTCCTTGATAGAGCAGTTGCCGTGCATCAGCAAGGGCGTGGGCTGCGTCCCTATCATTGCAACCAAAATGGGGCTAGAGTGCGAATTGCACCATTTCTTCAATTCGCCAAATTTGCAAAGCCTGCTCSGCCCCCTGCAATTCCTCCGTCCACCCCTGGAGGCGCTGCGGAGCCTAACGTGCGCATCTGCCCCCGGGGACTTAATCCCCGGATGTGGCCACTGCAATTCTTCATCCGACCATGGGGGCGCTGCAGAGCTCCCTGTGCCCCAGGCAACTTAATCCCCGCAGGTGGCTACTGCAATTCTGGAATCCGCCCAAGGGGACCCGGATGTGGTTACTGCAATTCCTCGGTCCACTCATGGGGGCGCTGCAGAGCAGCACTGCACATCTGCCCCAGGCAGCATTAATCCCAGGACGTGGCCCCTGCAATCCCTTAATCCACCCATAGGGGCGCTGCCAAGTCTCATGTGCACATCTGCCCCAGGCCACTGAATCCCCGGATGTGGCCCCTGCAATTCCTCGGTCCGCCCATGGGGGGCGCTGAGGAGCAGCCCTGTCCCAGGCGCAAAGTCTCGCCTTGGCGTTAAAGTGCGGARGGGTTTTCAAGTTCCCTGTGGTCTGCAGGGGTCACTGCACCTAGAGGGTCACTTGCACTGTTCATGCGGGATTCAGACGTCATGGAAGCCCCGGGTACCTGCGCACACCCTGGCCAAGAGCTGTGTGTGCTGCCCATTGCCCCAGGCTTCTCCCCAGGGAGGACGTCAATCAAAGGCGTGGGGCCCCAGGGGAGCAGTGGAGGTGCTGGTCAGTCTTGGGTGCTTAGGGAGCCCGGAGCCCCTAGTCCTAGGGAGTAACTCAGGACGGACCTCAGGGGCGCACTGACCCCCGAGCCCCCTCCCCAGCTCTATTTTGCATTTTATTTAGAGACAGGGTCTCCCTGGGCTGCTGAGGCCTCCCTTTGGCTGAGGCTGACTTTGAATCCGTGATCCTCCTGCCTCAGCCTCCCGAGCTGCTGGGATGACAGGTGCGGGCCACTCGCTGGTGCATGCACGGTTTGACTGAGTGACCCCCCAGACAGGGCTGAGGCGGGCAGCTTTGGAACTTCTCCTGGGGGTGACACATCCCCGCTCCTGGGTGGGGCTCCATTTCTCTGCGGAGCTGTCGCCCCAGAACTTGTGACAGGTGCATTCGGGTGCAAGAAAGCCCTCCTCGGCCCCTGCTCCTTGTAGAGCGACCCTGATGGGCAGTCCCATGGCAAGCCAGGTCCAGTGGGCCCGTCCTGTGGACGGAGCCGCGCCCCGGAGCAGGACGCTGCCCCTCAGGCTCCCTGTCCCCGGCCAGGTACTCGCTGTGGCGAAGGCTGTTCCCGCCCATCCCGCGGGTGAAAGGGGAAGTGACCAGCGACTTGGCGTCAAATCAGGTGGGTCCCCAAGCTGCAGCCGCGGCAGCCCTTAGCAAGGGGACAAGGACAGCTTTGTGCCTTGGCTGAGGCTGCTCTAGGCCCGGCTGGACAYCAGGAGCCCGAGACCCCAGAGACGCTGTCGCACCCACCACGGTGACCTCTGTGTCCAGCACCGAAGGTCCTGAGTGACGTCGGGAGGTCGGGAGGGAGCAAGGTCCTCTGAGCTGGTATCAGAGCCCCATTCCTTTTCTTGGCTGTGTAATATTCCACCGAGTCTCTGGACACTGTTCTGTGGATCTCTTGAAACACCGGTGGACACTTGGGTGGTTTCCACCTTGTGGCTGTTGTGGACAGTGCTAGGCTCTGACAGGCCTTCCTGGCGGGACAACCAGAGGGTCATTTGCGGACCATCTCACCGGCGTGATTTCTTCTCCCTCCTAGGTCACCTGGGCTGAGTCCCAGCCTCCACCAGACTCCCAGGATCCCGAGGAAGTCCTTGCCGTGGAGGAAACACCGTAATTGGTCCGTGGACGAGCAGAGAGACGAGTTCCGCGCCCCATCCCTCTCCCAAAGATGTCCCTTGTGTCCCGGGATGGGCTCTGACCCTCCTGGAGAGATGCTGAAGTGCACCGGGTCCTCCTCAGCCTCTGCCTCCCCTTCCCCCAGGAAAAGATAAGCCAGGCGCGGCCGCTCACGCCTGTACTCCCGGATGCTTGGGAGGCTGAGGCAGGAGGACGGCAAGGTGGAGGCCAGCCTCAGCAACTCAGCGGGGCCCTAAGCAACTCAGGGAGACCCTGTGTCTAAATAAAAAAAAATAAATAAAAATGGCTGGGGACGGGGCTCGGGGCTGAGTGCCCCTGGGTCCCCTCCCCGGCCCCCAAAGGAATTAAAGATTTTAATTGCAAAACCTCGCGGGTTCGCGATAAGGGACTTTCACAAGACTTCCTCCGCGTGAAGAAACTCCGGCTCTCAGGCTGTCCCCGCGGCCAGCAGGACACCGGGAGCCCGAGACCCCAGAGGACCTGTCGCAACCCCGGGGAGCCACGGCCTCCAGCCGTCCGTCCCTGCTGATAAGGGGTCAGGGGGGGTGACACAGCACYGAGGTTGGCACAGGGGACCGCGGGGCCCGGAGAGAAGTCCTCCTGGGAGACCGGAGCCCCCCTGCCCAGGAGGAGCCCGCTCCAGGGTCACCTGTCCCTGCAGTCCCTGCCTCCGTGTCCACGGGGCTCCTCCTCTGGGTCTGGGTCCCCTCCTCTGTCTCTGGGGAGCACACGGCCATGGCACGAGGGCCCCCTGACCCAGGAGGAGCCCATCTCAGGACCCTCCACTGACCACCTCTGCAGAGATGCCTTGTCTCAATCGGGCCCCATCCCCGGGTCCTGGACCGGCCATGTGTCCTGGGGACAGATGCTTGGACCTGGGACCCACGGGGTGGATTGGGGGTGATGCTCTCCTCCCGTCCAGCTCTCCGAAGCCTCTCTCGCCCCCCCCCCCCGGGGTGCAGAAATGGCGGAGAGGGTGCTCACGAGGACACAGTGCACTGTGTGTCACCCTTGCTCCCTGGACACCACCCGGGGACTGTCCAGGGGGCTCCTGGGTGTCCGCCAAGACCCAGGAAGACGGACCAATGGGACCTGCCCATTCGCAGGTAGCACCAGGGTCCTGGGACTTCAGTGGGGAAGACGCGCTTTCACTGGGAAAGTTCGCTAGGGAAGCCCCTCATCTGGGGGAATCCCGCAGGAAACTGTGGGGTTCCGGAGGCCAGGTCCGCCTAAGCCAAGGGACAAGGACGGCCTCTAGTGAAGAGCCCCGAGATGGGCTCCTCCTGGGTCAGGGGGCCCTCATGCCATGGCCGTGTCCTCCCCAGAGACAGAGGAGGGGACACAGACCCAGAGGAGGAGCCTSGTGAAATCCTTTAATTAACCACCCCTCAGCCCCTTCACTGCAAAGTGACAGGGCTCTGATTTGGAAGTTGTGGCTGCTCCTTCTCTTGTTTTCCGCCACCTTCCCTCTCCGCGGGGGGCGGGGGGGGGAAGCGGATTCCAGACGCCCACCTGCCCCCAACCGGAGCTTGGGAGACCGCCCTGGACATGGCCCTGGGACTGCAAGCCAACGAAGCTGGGCAGAAGCAAGGTGTCCCGGACCAGTGTGACTCTGGGTGAGTGGCTCTCAACCCCCCGGTGCCCGAGCCCTCAGGGCGCCCTGGCAGAGCGTCGCCTCTTGGCCAGGTCAGTGGGCTCCAGGGGCCTCCATCAGCTTCCTCAGGTGTATGGGTCACCTTTTCTTTACTGTGACAAAATACCCGAGGAAAACGACTTTGAGGAGGAAAAGGTGTTTTTTTTTCCTTTTGTAGGTAAGACAGCATCCAAAATACGTCAGATATAATATATACAAAATATATACATGATATAGAATATATAGAATAATGTAATATATGCATAAAATTTATATAATCTGTATGATAAAATATACAATATCACATCGTATATAAATAGTACGCACTGTATGGACTGCGTATGAACAGATATCATCACATAAATGCACGATGAATGTCACAGAGCCCATCCTTGTGACACTGCAATCGTCTATGATGATCCTGACAGACTGAGCCGGGGGCACAGACTCACGCCTGGGATCCCCAGCCGCTCTGGAGGCTGAGGCAGGAGGATGGCTAGTTGGAGGCCAGCCTCAGCCCCTCAGCGGGAACCGTCTCTGGATACTCCACACGAGGGCTCGGGAAGTGGCTCGGGGCTGCAGCCGCTGGGTTAGAGGGCCGCCCGAGGGTCTCCTGTCTGGGCGCCTCCTGTCTGCAGTTCCTCCTGCAGAGCCCTGACCCTGCGGCCCTGTGTCACTGGGCGTCGCTGGCTGTCCCTGGAGCTGGTGAGCTGGTTTCCAGGGGAACCACGGGCTCTCCCTGCCCGGCCCAACCGCCGGCCTGCACAGGTGCACCTGGCTGTGTCGAAACGGCCCTATTTTGGGTCCCCACGGCCCAGCTGCACCCCGATGGCCTCCACTGGCCCAGAGCCTCTTCCCGGTTCCTCCTTTCTGTTCCTCGTGGCCTCCCCACCCCTGTCCCTGGCACGTGCACAGCCCTGACCTGCCAAGGCCTCGGCTCCTCCTCCTGCAGCACCGGGGGCCTCGACCCTCCGTCCTGTCCCCACTCCAGCCTCCACAGCACACTTTAAAAGTCCCCCAGGGCTCCAGGTGGGCAGGAGGGCTTCCCAACTGGACCTCTCCTGGCCGTGCCCGGGTCSCTGGGCGTCTTGGCAGGCAGCCCTRGGTGCTCGTGGGGTCCGATTCCTCGGCACTGATTACCCAATAAGAAAATCTGGCCGTGCCTGGGATCCCAGTGGCTCGGGAGGCTGAGGCAGGAGGACGGCAAGTTGGAGGCCAGCCTCAGCAAGGATCTAAGCAACTTAGGGACACCCTGT